AGAGGAGGCAGGGACTGATAGGACCTTCATTGCCAAATTGTGCAGTTGTGGAAATCTAGTGTGGTTTTTTGCCCAGAAGACAAGTGCATTGTCTGTGTCAAAGTCACGGATGGCATCAAAGTATTTCCTTATCTGTGTGTGTATGCTTGAATCCTGGTCTGAGCTGTGCTTTTTGTATGCCTTGTAGCGGGACAGAAGGCGAGGGTATTTGTTTGGTGGCGAATCACTGGCTGCGGCTGGATCCACATTCACAACTTCTGAGCAGGTGTCTTCTTTCATGTCCATCATCTTCTCCACCTCTAAGATCAATGTTTCTGAAAAACACAAACACAATGACCGAGTTAGATTTAAAAGGATATGCACATATCAGAGTTGAATTAAATACGTTTAGGACCTTTTATTAGGGGCCTCCGATGTGCGTCCCATCAGTGTATGAATGTGATAAAGCTCTGATTAGTCTCCTTTGAATGATTTGTTCAATTAGCTTTGTAGAGATCTAGTAGAGTGCCGTATGAATGTGTAAATGAGGCACAGATTGTAATGTAAAGTGCTTTGAGTGTCTGATAAGATAGAAAGGTGCTATATAAGTACAGTCCCATTTAATATAAAAGTGAGTCAGGATTGTGTACAATAGGCATGTTACCAGCCTAAATATAAAGAATATCTGTTTCAATAGGCTCAGAGTGTACAAAATATGTTTTTATGACAAAAGTAAACAGATGAAATGAAGACTATGAATTCCACTGTAAGACTAGTTAAGGCTTTTATAGACAACTAATTTGAAATATTTTAGGATTTATGATTTTGCAAATAAGACATTTATTTTCAGCAGAGAAAATATATACTGACCTGTCAGTGTCTTCTTAAGCTCATCTCTGAACTTTTTCACTGATGTTGAATTTCCCCCATTGGTAACATCTAAGTCCACCCAGCTTAAGCCAAACTGAGGATCCAGCATGGTGGCCAAGAAGTAAACATTGTGGTTAAAAGGTTCCTCTCTTCCACTGTCTTTGGCCATGCTTGTTTTTAAAAAGATTCCAGAAAATCTTTTCACCAGAGACTGCTGGAGGGCTCTGACCAATGACTGGCACTGCATTCGAGTGTCCTCCATCTTGAGGAGGTGTGTATTCAAGTCCAGGACAGTTGGAACCACCATACTAATGGTAACTGATTTCTCCCCTTCTGTCAGGTCTGTTACCTCAGAAAATGGAGCAAGAACTGCACTCAGTTCCTTCAGCTGGTTCCACTCACGGGCACTAAACACCAACTCCTCGTGATCCTTGCTGCACATTTCATTCAGGGCTTTGTGGTCCAGAGCTGTGAAGGCCTGTACTTGTTTAAATATACTGTTCCATCGAGTTGTGTTTGCAGCTGGAATGGTCCTATTAGTGCCAAACGTAGCCTCAAACTTGTCTTTGAATTGTGAACTGCTATGCAATAAGGTGGTGAACCGTGATGTTTTGGCTATTGTGTGAGAAATGGCCTTGACCTCCTTCATGCCGTCATTCACAACTAATTGCAGAGAGTGTGCAAAGCAGGAAAGACGTGCACCAGATGACCAGGGTAATTCGGTGTCTTCCTGAGAATTAATGTCCTCCCACAGGTGCTCGTCATCTAAATGCTCCTCTTCACTCTCGCTGTCATCAGATTGGGGCATGTGTACTTTGAAAGCACATTTCATATTGGCAGCATTGTCTGTTATGATATAGCTAATTTTGTCATGGATACCGTATTCCTCTGTGATCTCCTCAAAGGCAGACGCAATGTGCTCTCCAGTATGTCTGCCTGTGAAACGCCTACAGTCCAGCAGGTAGGATTCAAGTGCATAGGAATCCTTTGATTTGTAGCACACGTGGGCGGTCACCCCAAGGAAGGAGCGTAGCCTGCGATCAGACCAGAGGTCAGTTGTTAATGACACAGATGACTGGGTCTTCAGTTTCTCCAAAACAGTTTCCTTGACCTTGATTACCAACTCTGGAATTTGTCTATCAGAAACCGTTTTTCTAGAGATTGGTGTGTATTTACTATCCATAACTTCAAGAAAGTGTTTAAAATGACTGTTTTCCACAAGTGAGAGAGGCAGACAACACCCAATGATCAAATCTTGGACAATGGCTTGACTGATGGCTTGTTGCCTTGGTGATTGTGGGCTGTAGAGCTGCACTTTCTGCGTAAATAATGGAATTGATGGCTGTGTGACTGTGACATCATTCTGTTGCCCTGCCTTGTATTCCAGGAACCTAAAAAATGCAAAGGAGGAATCAGTATATCTGGTCATGAACATCAATTACATCAAAAGAACACTTAAAAATAAGTAGCAACTTCATAAATGTATGTCAAATATATTCTCCATTGTTTATCATAAGCAAAAATTAAACTTAGAAAAATCTAACAAAGTTAAATTGGGTCCTCTGGATGGGTTTAAACAATAAAAAATTATACAAATGTTTTGTCTTTCATCCAAAAGACTTCTTCAATATGAGGAGCTATATTAAACTCAAGAGCTACATTTTCAGGCCAGGATTCTGCGGTTTACATTCATCTCCAGGTCAGAGGTCACTCTTTCAGGGATGAAGATGTTCACATCCTGGACAGAGAGGAACGATGGTTTGAGAGAGGAGTAAAGGAGGCCATCTTTGTGAAAAGACACCGTCCATCTTTAAACAGAGGTGGAGGCCTCCGGGTTCAACTGTCCCCCTCTTACAATGCTGTTATTGCTAGTATCACTCAGCCCTCTGTGAACAGTAAACAGCCATCAGGGTACTAACAATCCATCATTAGGCTGATGGTCCTCCTTGAACATGTGAGCAGCTAGTTTCATCAACAACAAACGGTTGGTCCACTGTAAGGAGGAACTATTTATAGGGCTGAGCTGAATGCAGCTCCTCAGCCTGAGGAAGTCTTTCGGACGAAAGACGAAATGTTTCTACCTTTTATTTTTACTTTTTTAACACGCCCAGAGGACCTGATTTAACTTTTTAAGATTTTTCTACCTGGGTGATTGAGCATGCATCAGGACATATTAAACACAGTTAGCACCTTCTCACAGTGGATCAACCAGTTTGCCAAATATGCTAAGGGAGACCATCAGCCTAACAATGAATCGTTGGCACCCTGATGGTTGCTTGCTATTCACAGGGGGCTGAGTGATACTAGCAATATCAGCGATGTAAGAAGAAGACAGTCCCTCTTACAATGAAGTCTTTTGTTAAGAAGTCAAGTAGTCTTTTGGATGAAAGATGAAACGTTTCTACATTTTGTTACCACATGCCCTGTCCCCTCAGTCTCTCAAAGTTAACAGTGAATTTGTCCTTATGCATGCTCAATAACCCAGGTAGAAAAATTTAAAAAAGTTAAATCAGGTCCTCTGGGAGTGTTAAAAGAAAAAAAAGGTAGAAAAAAGCTGTGCAGATAATATTCTACTTTTTTTCTTTTAACACACACTCAGAGGACCTGATTTAACTGTATGTAAACAGTGAATTTGCTTACTTCCCTTAATATGTTAATTATATCAGTGTTATAAAGTAAAACTCATTTAAGGGCTAAACAAAGCGGGTCTGAGTCTGACACACATTAATTAATTTAGATGTATTTAGATTTAATGTCGATGAATTACTTTTTCAACTTTTTGTCCCTTATTTTAGTATTTGTGATGCATGCTTTGGTATTTGTTGTTGTTATTTTTTTGTTTGTTTTTGGCGAGTCAAGACTGTTTTTCTCGTCCTAAGCAATTCACTGCATTGTTGTCGACCTTGTGTTGATTTTGCATATGACAAATAAACCATACTTGATAAAACGTTCTGTTTGTATTGTTCTTGGAAGAGAGGCAGATTGATAACGTTAACTAGCTAGCTTTACTAGCATCACTTACACAAAGCTGCGGCGCTTACCTTTCTTTGTGCTTCCTTTCCAGGTGTCGATAAAAGTTGGATGTAGTCCCGACAGTCTCCGAAAGTGAAGCGCTGCAGAACTTGCATTGCGCCGTGTGCTTTTTTTCAGAGTTGTTATGCAAACATACTCTTTGTGACTCAAATAGCCAAACTTTATAACAGCAGATTTAGAAGACATCTTCTCTTGTTCTAAACACAAACAAGTCTAACTTTTCTTCCCTGACGCTTGCGAGTGAAAGGAGGTGGGCTCGGTGTTGCCAGATAGAGTCGAGATTTTCCAGCAAAAAATCGGTTAAAAACCGCAACATCACACAAAAACCTGCACAATCTATATTTGTTACAGTATATTTACTTTTTGAACACAAACCCACATCAGTACAAGCCAAGGTAATTTAACAATATGTGGCAAAACGGAACAGTCCAACAAAAATCTTCCCAGAGTTCCCAGCAAAATCAGAACGAAAACTGGCCAATTGGCAGTAAACCACCCAATCTGGCAACACTGGAGTGGTAACAAAAACATGTAGCTAGCTGCTATGAGTCACGTTATCGCTTGAATTTGAATCGGTATGTTTTGCATCCAGTAAAAGCAAAGATGTTAACAAATAAACTGGACAATATTCTGGCAATTTAGTGATATTTTCACAGTTGTGGTCTTGACTGGTCTTGAAAAAAAATCCCGAGACCTCAATGTCCGAGACCGTGACAAGACCGAGACCAAATGCGGTCGAGACCGAGACGAGACCGAGACCGTCAAAAAGTGGTCTCGAGACCGGTCTCGAGACCAAGACCGGTCTCGAGTACTACAACACTAGAACAAGGCGGGCCTTCCTGGGAGTTTGAATGAAGCCGGCTGGCCAGACTCAGCTGAGGCTAATTGGAGGGCAGAGCAGACTACATGATGGGAATCTGTGTGCAGGATCAGCTGAGACAAGACACAAAACTTCCATGGAAACAGAACAGAGTTAAAAAGAAGTTTATTGAAACACCCAGAAGAATGAAACAATGTTTTGAGTGAATGCAGGCACTGCCCTCTAGTGGCCATTCTGTTTCATTACATGAAGCAGAACATGTTTCACAGTTCCTCAAATGCTGTGTGTCACCCTGCAGTCTCAGGCCTCTGGATGTTGAGTTCATGAGTCGTCTCAGCAAAGTGGTGAACATCGTCCCCGTCATCGCCAAAGCTGACACGCTCACCCTGGAGGAGAGGGACAGCTTTAAACAGACGGTAAGAAGGGATTCATGGACGTGCTGCACTGTTCTTATATCTGTCGCCAAGATATCCCACGAACCACTGGACGAGTTTTACTGAAACTCAGTCAGTTTTGGATTATCATGTAGAACTGATTAACATTTGAAGCTGGCCTGATTCGGCCATCTTTAACTCAGCCAGTCTCACAGACATCCAGCTGCAGCTTGATGTGGATCATCTGCAACTCTTACTAAGTGTGAATCTGAAATGATGCATGAGTTCACACACAGCATTTTCCCAAAACAGCTACAGGATCATCCTTCCTCAATATAAGATGTATAAAGCTGTGGCTTGACAGGAGGTGAGTTATATGCAATTTAAATAATAATTTAATTTAAACGTGCAGCGCTGCATAGATGTGTTTTACATGTTGGAGCTGATCGCTTCACAGAGGAGTGACAGGAGAGCAGATGTTGGTTTTCACTCATAAATGATAGTTTCACCTGACTCATAACTTTCATCTCTTCCTTTGATCGTTTCTATGAAATCATTTGAAATCTACAGGAGGCAGCCGCTCGGATCTTTTTTTATTTAGCGAGATGGAAGCAGCAGCATGAGTGTTTTGGCTGCAGTGTGTTTCCTCTGATGTCTGTAACAGCAGTCGGTCCTGTCCCCGACAGAGAAGAGAAGCTGCTGGAGCTGGATACTTTTGGTTGGCCACTCATGCACAGTATGACTTGAAAATTATTCACTACGAGCTTTAAGTGCTCTAAAATGAGTCTTTCTCCAACCCTTCATGAAATCAGAAGGCAGTACATCCTGAGCTCTTAATTCTGCAAATCAGAAGTTAAAGCACCTTTTTTTTTATTGTTGACCAGAACATGTTTCACTTTGCTGTAGCAGACTTCCGGAACGCTTCACAAAACACTTTAAAACTTTTATGTCTCACTAGTTTTAAACAAAAACTCCAACAGATTATAATTCTGTCCTTTCTGATTGTTCTTGGATGCACTTCAGCACGTTTATTTATTATTTGACAATTTTTTTCTTTTTTTTTCTTTTTCATCCATACGTCTTGAGCACACATGTACATTTTTATCCATCCATCATCTTTTACCCACTTCTTCCTTTTTGGGTTGTGGGAGTCACTGGTGCCCATATTCAGCAGTCACTGTGCGAGAGGCGGGGGACACCCTGGACAGGTCTCAAGTCCATCACAGGGACACATAGAGACAAACGAGACGAAACCATTCACTCTCTCACTCACACCTAGAGACAATTTAGAGTTACCAATCAGCCTAACATGTATGTTTTTGGTCTGTGGGAGAAAACCCACGCATACACAGAGAGAACATGGAAACTCCACCCAGAAAGGCCCCTGACCGGATTTGAACCAGGGTTACCTGCTCGCTGAGAGGCAGCAGCTCTACCAGTTGTGCCACCGTGCTGCCTACATTTTTATCCTTATGTTTATTTTTTTTCTATGCATAATTCTTTACAATATATTGATGTATTGTACCGATGGACCCATTTCTTGCAGGAATTTCTTGACCAGCTCATGTTTGTAAATAAGAACTGGCTCACAAACATTTCTTCTGGTAAAAAAAAAAGGTGTGTGTGTATATGTGTGTATGTATATATATATATATATATATATATATACACACATATATAATTCTCAGTTTTACTGAGTTTGAACTCTAAATGTTGGAAAAAAGTAATCTCGTTTTATCTCACTTACTCAAAAGGAGACACACTCAATGGCAGGAGAAGATTTTTAGCTGATATTTTACCTGCAAGGACAGATTTTCAGGACAGGTTACACAGATATGTAGGAAGTACACATGAAGACCCGTCATGAGAATCTGCCACTAGTAGTGTGCAGATAGTTTTTATGCTTTTCGGTACAGCCAATCTCACAGACTCGGAGGCATCCTTGAAGCGACAGCTGCAAGCTGCAGCATCACTCAGCTCTGTGCTAACCCAAACATATGGTTCATGGGCAGAGTTAACATTCTCAGCCATAGTAGTTAAAAACATCCGTAAACTTTGACCAAAGATTCCCTAAGAATGAAGCGCAGTAGTTCTCTAACACGTGATGCTGTGCCCTCCTCGGAAGAAACTACTGCAACAATATTGGACTTTTTAAAAACGGGAATGGTCCCTGATAAATGTCACAATCCTGCACCCCACACCAAGAACCACAATGAAAACCCTCATTAACAACATTAAACCCATTCTAAATGAGAATGAGTTTAAATAAATAATCAAAAAAGTTTCCAAGGAAGACAAAACAAACTGTGCAAACATCACTTTTAAAACTAATAAACAGTTTGTTACAACAATCCTTTACCTTCAGTATTTTTTGTTCTCTTCAGAACCACAGTTAGTAATACGAAAGTTGAACTTGATTTTAAAATATTCACGTTAGGTTTGCTTACTATGTTATACGCATGTTTTTATGGAGTCTGGGTGTACGTTTGACTCTGTGTTCTTGTGTTGTTGTGCCCGGCTGTGTGCAGATCAGGGAAGAACTGCGAGCCAACGGAATCGATGTTTACCCCCAGAAAGAGTTCGACGAGGACATGGAGGACAGAATGATCAATGACAAAATCAGGGTGAGTTCAAGCCGCTGACCTGAAAAAGCCCGATCTCCTGAGTTGTAGCTGAGAGTCATTACCAACACAGTGTCTGAGTGCTAACAGGTCGAGTGAGATCTTTGTTTCCAGCTTTCGTACACAAGGTGGCGAGTGATGCGCATTCCTTCAGGGGAAGGCTGATTATTGTCCCCCGTCACTGCCAGATCTGTTACGGAAGCATGATCCGTAGTGTCGGCTCATTTTGTGCTTGTGCTATAAGTAAAACATCCGGGTTGCACGGCTCGCTGTTGTTTATGAAAACAAAATGTCTTAATTTACTTAGAAATTTACGTGCTCTATCTCCACTGATCTTTATGTAGCTATTTACGCCACTCGTATTTCCATTACAATCATTGGTTAAGATGATATGTGACACATTAGACTTGACCCCCAGCCTGGGCTGAATGAGAAAACCCTGCAAGATACAGAAATAATTATTTCCATGGTGAAACAGCGCCACTCAGTGGTGAAGCTGCATATCATTTTAACCATGACTAAATATGTCAGTGATTTTTTTTTTTTACTTTATTGAACTACTGAACGTACAGAACAAAAGAACACAAATAGAACAACAAATGACAATCTCAAATTACAATGATACATATAAACATATACAAATATCTACAATCATACCTCCTAAGGTCAACATATTCTAAAACGAATTATCATATCAACCATCATAAACTTAAAAATTAGGTAATAATACTATTTGAGAGTTTGCAAATAATATAGTACAGTAAATTAAACAACTAACTATTTATCTAAGAATCTACATAATTACTAAAATTTGTCAGAGGGCTATATTATCTGAGCGAGGTGATCAGAGAGCTTTTTTGCTTGTGGTTTTTTAGCACTGTCTAATGAAAGTTTTAACAACTGGAGTTCTTGTTTGAATACAGACCATAATGGTTTAGACTTGCCATATCTGCATTTATGTATATAGAATTTTAATATTATGATAATGTTATTGACAAAGTATTCATCTTTTTTATTTTCAGATACATATCCATATAATATATTCTGAACTGAGAAGGAGTCTATGTTCATAGATTTGATGGTCAGGAGATCGTGAAGTGATTTCCATAATGTGTTCACAGAATGACAGAAATAAAATAAATGTTCTGTTGTTTCAGGTTCGTTACATATATAACAGTTATCACATTCAAATTTAAATCTGTTTCTGATAAACTCGTTAGAAGGATAAATATTATTTAGAGTTTTGAAATGTAATTCTTTATATTTAGGTGGAAGAGGGAAACCCAGATATGTTGTCATTATTTTTATTCTTTCCTTCTTATCATAGAAATCGTGAAACTTTCTTCTTACCTGACCAGAATATATTGTTTTTATTAAATGTTGTCTTAAAAATTTGTTGTTGCATTTATTGTGTGTTAAATTTAGTCCATTGAGATTGATGCTCGGTAAACTAATTGTTGGTTTAGTTTCATAATTGTTCTTTATTAACTGAACAAATGCAATTGGTATATTTTTTGTTACTTTATCCTAGTCTTTTTTTGGTACAGATTAGATTATATTTTTTTGTGAATTCTTCATAGTCATATAAATTTCCCTTTTCATCCATGAGATGAGTGAGTGACCATATTTGTTTCTCCATCCATGTTTCCATGAACACAGACTTCCTTCTATGTAAAACGACTCTGTTGTTCCAAAAAGGGACATTATGAGGACTGAAGTTATGTTTGTATGCTAGTTTCCAGTTCAATAACACCTGTTGGTGAAAAGCAGATAATTTAACAGGTAATTTAGGAATGTCAAAGTCACATCTTAACAGGAAGTCAATACCTCCAACTTTACTAAAAACCAAAGTGGGGACAGCAAACCAAAGCTCATGACCATTTTTAAGAAAAGATTGAAGCCATTTAAGTTTTAATACGCCATTCATTATTTCAAAATCTATTGCTTTAATCCCACCATCTTCATCATTTTTAACTATCTCCTTTTTTGATATAATGATGTTTATTTCTCCAAATAAAGTTAAAGTTTAATTTATTATTTTCCTTAATAATCTTTGGAGGTATGGCTATGGAGGATGCAGGGTAAACCAGTCTTGATAGAGTCTCCATTTTGGTTAGTAATGTCCTACCAGAAAGAGTTAAGTCTCTCTGCAACCAGTTATTTAATATCAATTTGCATTTAGTAATATTATTGTCAACATTCAGTTTGGCACAATTGCTTGCAGTTTTTGTGACCCAAATGCCCAGATATCGAACCTCCAGTTTGACCGGTATATTGTAATAAGATGATTGGGAACAATCATGAATACTCATTAAATCACACTTTTCCAAATTTAACTTTAATCCTGATGCTTTAGAGAATGCTTCTACTGTTTGGATCGCCAGTGGAATCTGATCTTTATTTTTTAGAAACAGAGTTGTATCGTCTGCTAGCTGACTTATAATAATATTCTGATTCATAATTTGTAAACCATGAAGTCTGGAGTTTCTCATAGAGATAGCCAAGAGCTCAGTAACGGTGATGAACAGGAGAGGTGAAACACTGCATCCTTGTCTAATCCCTCTTTTTATTGTAAATCTGGGACTTGTTCCTTCTGCTAAGGAAACACAGCTGTTAACATCTGTATGCAGCATTTTGATTATGTTTAAAAACTTCTCACCAAAGCCAAAATGTTTGAATGTTTCAAAAATGAAAGGATGCTCCACCGAATCAAAAGCTTTCTGAAAATCCAGAAATAAAATTGTCCTGTCATCAGGGATTAAGTGGGCATATTCAATTAAATCTAGAACCAGACGAATATTGTTATTAATTGATCTACCTTTGAGAAAACCAGACTGAGTCGAGCTAATTATATCAGATAAACCTTCTTTTAACCGAGCTGCAAGAACTGTAGTAAATATTTTATAATCTGTGTTGAGAAGTGTGATGGGTCTGAAATTATTCAAGTTTGTTTTATCTTTTCCTGGTTTGGGTATCAGTATGATGACACCCTGTTTCATTGTTGTCATCAATTCTTTTTTATGAATACACTCCATAACTGCATCAAACAACAGTATTTTTATGTCCTTCCAGAAGAATTTGTAAAAATTTGCTGTAATACCATCTGATCCAGGAGCTTTATCTGATGCTACTTTTTTAATAACACAGTCAAATTCTTCTATTTGAAAATCCTCTTCACAAATGGACCTAAATGTCTCATCATTGTTAGGGATCACATTTTTAATTTTTATAAAAAAGGATTCTGAGTCTTGTTTTGAATATGAGGATGTGAACAGATTACTGTAAAAGTCCTTAACTTCTCTGGATATTTATTTTGTTTCTGTAACTTCCTCACCATTAATTATGAGACTGTTAATTGTATTTTTCATCTGTCTTTGTTTTTCCAAATTACAAAAATATGAAGTATTTTTCTCACCCTCTTCCAGCCACCTGGCTCTTGACCGTATGTATGCTCCACGGACTTTATTTTGGTAATATTCATCCAGTTTACATTGTAAATTATTCATATTAATTTTGTCTTCCTCACTCCAGTCAGATTTATGATAATATAAGATTAGTTCCTTGGTTAGTTTAGTTTCTTCCATTTGTCTCTCTTTTTGTAATTTTTTCCTGAAGGAAATGGAAAATTTTCTAACAGTAAATTTGAAGAATTCCCATTTTTGTATTGCTGTCACTAAACTTTTGTCATTTTTTTACATCTTGAATTATTTTACTAATACTTTTACAATATTCGTCATTCTTTAATAAGTTAGCATTGAATTTCCAGTAACCTTTGAAATTATTTTTTGTATCATTTTTGGATATTCACAGGTTTATGGTGCAGTGATCACTTAAAGGGCTACAAGAGATCTTGGCTTCTGTGACATGTTCAAGTATAGAATCTGTAATTAACCAATAATCAATTCTTGATCTTGATTGTCCGTTAGGTTTAAACCAAGTATACTGTCTAATGTTAGAGTTTATGTTTCTCCAAACATCAACAAGTTTATTGGTATTCATAAAGTCACCCATGATTGGGTTTAATGTCACCTGAGATTGTTTGGAAGGGCATCTGTCCATCCATTCATCTGGAGTTAAATTAAAATCACCCCCAACAACAACTTGGTCAGTGGGATAATTCAGCTGCATTTTTTTTATAATTGTTGTGACTTGATGTAATAACTGTTAGTTTTTTTGGTCGTTGTTGTATCCATAAACATTAACAATGATGAACAAATTGCTGTCAATATCTAAAACACATGCTGCCCAGTGTCCAGCATCGTCTACTTCCTGAAAAATGACCTTTCCTGGACATCTATAGAAACAAATAGCTACTCCTGCAGAACGATTTGTGCCATGACTAAAAATGATCTTATCACCCCATTGTTGAGTCCAAAAGTTCACATCAGTGAACTCCGAGTGTGTCTCTTAAAGAAAAAAAACAGTTAGCCTTTTGACCTTTGCAAAATAAACAAACAGCCTTACGCTTAATAGAGTCTTTGAGCCCTCTTGCATTAAAAGAAGAAAATAGAATCTCAGTCTTTAAATTGAATACTGGACACATTAAGAACAATAACAATAGAAAACAAATAAACAATAAAAAACTTAGGTTATAGGAGGTAGAGTAAAAAACCCTGAGAGTAGAGTCCCCTTAATAGACCCTTGAAGAACAAAACAATCTCCATTGTAACAGAAAAGCTTCAAGTTTCATCTAAACATCTAAACAGTGCTCGAACTTCAGCTAAAAAACTCTCTTCCCTTCGATGTAGGCGAAGGCTCCTCTGAATCCTGCAGCCCTACCCTCCTTTCTTGCCTGCTCAATTCTCGGCCACAGCGCTTGTCTTGACTTCAAGTCCTCCTGGCTCAGGTCCTCTGCAAACTTCAGACCTTCATCTCTGCAGATCTGTGATGACTTTGTTTTCTTCCACACCTCATCTCTGACTCTTCTCTTGGAGAAGAGGATTATAATTTGTCTGTGTCGACCTTCCATTGATCTTCCCACTCTGTGAACGATGTCAACAGCA